GCTTGAGTTCCTGCAACACGGTTGCGGTAAGTTTTGCGCCGGTGCAACCCAAAGGATGTCCGAGCGCGACCGCGCCGCCGTTGACGTTTACTTTTGCCGGATTCATTTCGAGAACTTTCATCACCGAAAGACCTTGTGCCGCGAATGCTTCGTTGAGTTCGATTACGTCAATCTGATCGAGCGTCAAACCCGCCATTTTTAACGCTTTCGGAATCGCGTAAACCGGACCGATGCCCATTTCTTCGGGCAGACAGCCTGCTGTTGCGAACGAAACGAAACGTGCAAGCGGTTTCAATCCCAATTCGTTCGCTTTGTCCAAAGACATAATCACCGCCGCCGCCGCGCCGTCCGACATTTGTGAAGAATTTCCCGCCGTGACCGTTCCTTTAACGTGAAAAACGGGTTTCAGTTTTGCAAAACCTTCCATCGAAGCATCATAACGAACGCCTTCGTCCGTGTCGAAAACTACTTCTTTACGTCGCACACGACCTTTTTCGTCAAATTCGTCAACGAAAATATTCATCGGCACGATTTCATCTTTGAACTTTCCACTTTGAATCGCCGCCGCCGCTTTTTGATGTGATTGAAGCGAAAATTCGTCTGCCTGTTCGCGTGTAATTTCGTATTTCCGCGCCAGATTTTCAGCCGTCAAACCCATATTCAGATAATAATCGGGATATGTGTCAACAATGCGTGGATTCGGGCGCACGACGTTTCCGCCCATCGGAATCATCGACATCGTTTCGAGTCCGCCCGCAACTATTATTTCCGCGCCGCCCGATTTGATTCGGTCAGCCGCGAGTGCAATCGTCTGCAAACCCGACGAACAATAACGATTGACCGTCATCGCCGAAACTTCGACAGGCAATCCGGCTTCGATCGCCGAAGTCCGCGCCACGTTCATTCCCTGCTCGGCTTCAGGAAACGCACAGCCCATAATCACGTCGTCGATCTGCGACAAATCCAGATTTTCAACGCGCTTGACCGCTTCCGCAATCGCCGCCGCGCCGAGATCGTCGGGACGCGTATTTTTCAAAGTTCCTTTCGGTGCTTTTCCGACAGCCGTCCGCACGGCTGATACGATAACTGCTTCTTTCATATTTTTTCTCTGCTTTCACTCTTCACCCAAGAAATGAGTG